AAGACTGATGAATCACAGACCTGTACCTCTGAAACCAATAATACTTTATATGTCCATTAATTGAATTAAAATTAAAAATTAAAAAAAAGAGAGATCTCACTTCATGTCTATGCCAACCCACATGAAAGTGGCCACTGTGGTGGTGGCCACTATGACCCCCAGATCTTCTTCTGCTCCTTTGCAGACCCATGCCATCCCTATCTTGGATTGAGGTGATGGGGTTTCCTCCCCAGCCAAACAAGAACTAATGCAACAGATTTTTCTTGTTGCTGTTATGTGCTGGGCACTGGGTTAGCTGTGCCCAGGGCACAGGGATGTACGGCAGGAGAGCTGCATTCTCTACTGCAAAGAGTTCACAGTTTAGTGGGGGAGGCAGGCCCATCAGGGAACTGGGTACTCTCATCACAGATAATAATACCCCTGCCTCACACAGGTGCCGTGCGGTTAAATGAGCTAAGGCCGGCGGAGTCCTGAGCAGTGGCCCCCTCACGACAGACACTCAATACCATGACTTGTGTGGCAAGGGCCAGAGGGGAAGTGGGCTCTGGGGACCCAGATGAGGATCCCCCTAACTCAGAAGGGTGGCAGCAGGAGAGATTCCACTCCCTCAGACCGGGCTAGTGGGGCGGGCTCCCACCGGTTGGGGGATGGATGGGGCAGCAGCAGATCTCCAGGCCTGGGTCCTGGCCCTGTTGATACCAAGTCAGACTGTAGGTCCCACCCATGACCTGGTCATGTCCTGCAGTCCCCTCAGAGAGGAGCCCCGGACAGGGCAAGGTGCATCAGAAGAATGTGTGAGGAGGCGGCCACGGAGGGCTCGTGGCAGGGAATGACGAAGAGAAGGCGTGCTCCCTCTCCTCTCAGAGGTAGAAAGAGGGTCGGGTCTGGCTTATACTCCCTGGCCCAGGGGCAGCCCAGACGGGCTTGCAGGAGAGGCCAAGCAGAGGGCGAGAAGTGTCCCACAGGATCAGGGACGGCTTACAGAGCCCAGAGCCAAGGGAGGACCTGGGGGCAGGGGTAGGGAAGGGATCAGGGACACTGATAGCTTGGAAGTTGGGTCCAGAATCCAGGGGTAGAGCGGAGGCACCTGTTCTCCCAGGGTGGAAAAGGAGACCAGACCAAGGGCAGGCTCTCCATTTGGCGGAGACAGGGCGTGGGGCCGTCCCGTCTCCAGGGCGGTCCCCCCTATGCCACTCTCTGAGCTTGACCAATTTTGCAGTCATCTGTCCATTTGAATTCTCTGTGACATTCTCTACCGCCCTTGCTCACTATGTGACTGGAGGCAGGTTACTGAACCTCTCTGCGCGTGGCTTTTTGTCTAAACAGTTAATGAGAGGTGAGTTTAATATCCCTGTGAGCACGGTGGACCCAGAGTCGGGCTCAGGAGATGGAGGCCACCATGGCGCCCTGCGGCGCCACCTCTTCAGAGAAATTCTTCCTTGTTTATTCTCTAATTTTTTGGGCTCTGGGCCCAAAGGCCTGTGGGGGAGTTATTCAAAGTTTTGATTCCAGGGACTAGAGATAAGGGGGCAGGTGAGCAGGACGCTTTCTAAACCATCCCCGAAACTGTCCTAGGCAGAAGGGAATGAGCCTGGGAAGGGAGGCGACCTTGAAAGTCACCTAAATTGGAGGGGAGGGGGTCTGTACCAACACTCCTACTCAGCCAAACTCCCCAGCCAATGGTATCCATCCCTGGGAAATATTAAAAGTACAGAAAAAAACAAAACAAAACAACATTCGGAGCTAATTGAGCTGCAGGTGGTGGCTGGAGACAGACTCATTTGACTCCTCCCCCTCCTTCCCCCAAAGTGGCCCTCAGGTGACAGAGCAGACCAGCCACCTCTTGCAGGGAAGTCAGGAAGAGAGTGGGAACGAACTGGGGAGGTGGGTGGCAGGAATGAGGAATTAGGCAAAGAAAAATGGCCTGCGAAATGCAGAAACGCCCCAGCATGCTTGCTTCCCAGACCCGGCCCATGAATCGAGGGGTGACAGGTCTCTCATCTCTGATGCCAAGAGCCAGGAGCTCCGGGGACCGCAGGTACTACATCTGCACCTGCCAGCACTTGGAAAGAGGCAATAAAGCCTCCTAGCAGGGCCTGGAATGCTAAGTGCCTGCAGCTGGGAAGGGGCTGCCATGCAGCGAGAGCAGCTCGAGGCAGACGTCCACTGCTCGAGGCCCCACTCCCAGGCACCGGCTCCGGGGGCCGAGGAAATGGACGGAGGAGGGGACAGGACAGGTGCACACTCAGTCTAGCCCTGGGGGCCGCCATGGCCGGGTGCTGGTCCAGACAGACGGAGATCTTCTGGAAGAAGCCCAAGTGGGCTGGGTAGTTTACCGAGGCTGGCAGGAACTGGGATGCTTGAGTCACGGGTATATAAAAGTGGATCATAAAGCACCCCAGCTAAGCCAGACGTCTGGAAATACACCAGGGCCACATGCAGCTCGGCAGTGGGTGCCCTATCCCCCCAAGTGATGATAATGATAATAATGTTTGCACAGCACTTAGAGTGGAGGTGCCAGAGCCTGTGCTCAGTGTTTTGTGTGCATACTAATTTACCAAATCCTCACAACCTTACGGAGCCGGTGGTAGTAGCATCTTCCTGCTCTGTACCAGGAAGCCGAGGCAGCCCAGAGGCCAGAGAGCTAGGCCCTAGCAAAGTCAGGGTTTGAGCCCGTGCAGTCGACTTCCGGAAGCCACGCCCTAGCGAGTGTTTCTCAAACTCGAAGGGGCCGGTCTGTCACCTTGGGGGCTTGGTAGCCTGCAGCTCCTGACTCAGCTGGCCTGGGGTGGGGCCTGCATCATTAACAGCTCCCAGGTGACGCCTGGTCCAGGGACCACACCTTGAGTAGGAGGCTCCCAAGTCCTGGACCACCTCCCCAGGATACCTCTTCAGCTGTGGAAATGGGTCTACACTACGCTGCTCTGGCCCTGGGGGCGTCTATGAGTCCCTCAGTTGACACAAACAGGCCTTGGCAGGGTGTCAGAACCAAGGGGCTGAGGCCAGGGGAGGGGGTGTGAAGTCTTAGAACACCTCTGTCCCTTCCGCACCTCAGCCTAATTCAATCCCAGGCGCTGCCGTGGGGCTCAGACTGGGATTTTTTTAAGCTCCCTGTGTGATTTCAATGTGTGGCCATGTACAGTCCCAGAGACAGACAACAGGACTGCTCCGGTCATTGTGTTAGATTTATCCCTACAGAACTGGGGAAAGTTCTTTGAGGTCAGGTCAGGGATTTCAAGGGGGTGGTGAGCCACATGCCTGGCTATGGCTAGGGTCTGCTAGGGTTCCCTCTTCTTGTCCCCTGGAGGAGGGGTCAGCTGGCAACCCTCCAGCCTGGCATGCTTTCAGAGATGCCCACACTATCCCCATCCATGAGCTTCCAAGAGAGAGCAGACACCAGCCTAGATCAGCTGTGGACTCTGAGGCTCCTGATAGAGATTACCCAAACCCCTGAGCTCTCTTCTCCACTAGGCCTTGCCCTTGGCCTCCATCCTGTCTTCCACCTGCCCAGCCCAGTCCTAGCAAGAATCCTGCTAAGTCCATTTATGGAGAAGCCCCCCATCCTTGATCTGACCACCCTCAATATCTGAGCAAGCTCCTCATCCCCCACCCCTGGTGTGCATGCCCTTGGCCTGCCTTTAGCAAGACCCCCCCTGCCCTTGATGGCTCCTCTTTTTTCCATCCACCAATTCCTCTAATTTTCCATCCACTGAGCTCTCACTCTGCTCCTTGGCTATAAATCCCCACATGTCTTGTAGTATCTGGAGTTGAGCCCGATCCCTCTTTCTTATTGCAACAGTGTTGAGTTAAGCCTTCCTTACGTTTTAACAAGTGGCAGAGTAATTCCTGTCTTTAACACTGCCCCTGCCCAAGGGAAAAGTCACGCCACAGAGCAGCCCCGATGGCGGGAGGGGGCTTGTTGTCACTCAACACTAAACACAATGTTCATGCCTCACCCTGGCATTCAAGGCCCAAGCAATGACTTCAGGGCCCAGGCAATGATCTCAAGCCTTATTTTTCCCTTACGTGTACCCCCCATACAGGAAAACGCAGTGCCTTACTGCCCCCCACACACCTGAGCGTCCCCCCATCCTGCCTCTGCTCAGGCTTTCCCTCCCACCTGGAAGATCCCCTCCCTTCTAGTCCACCTGCTCTGAGTCACAGTGACCCCTCCCCTGGTGACAAGACTACTGATCCCCCAGTCTTCACTTCCCCTGTCTCCCACAGCTGTACAACCTCCCATTTTAGCTGGGCACACAGTCCTCTGGGAAAACGACTACATCTAAAGGCTACATTTTGCAGCCTCCTTTGCAGCTCATGTGGTCATGTGCCTGAGTTCTGCCCAATGCCATGGAAGCAGAAGCAATGTGTGTTACTTCCAGGAATGTTCTTATGCCTCTCCTTCTCCTCTTGCCGTGATCGCTGGAGCTCCAGCAGCCATCTTGGACTGCGAAATGACCTTGACCATGGAAGCTCTACATGGTGGAGCAACGAGGTTCCTGACCACATGGGAGGGACATCGTACCAGCGTTGCGCTGGCCCCTCTAGACTTGAACAGGAGAAAAAAATTAGCTTCCATCTCGTTTCACCACTGCTTTTTTTTTTTTTTTGGAATTTTCTGTAACAGCTGAACTTACTGCTATCAGAGCTACCTTTTCAAATCCCTGGAGTCATGAACTCTGGGTTCTTGGGCTCACCATAGGACAGTGCAGAGAATCACCACTTGCATCTTCTGCCCAAGTTAAATAGCAAGCAGGCTGGAGGCTGCAATCGTGTCTTCCCCACCACATGAAGCATGAGGCTTCACACACCACACAAAGCATGTCTCAGGACTGAGGTCTTTCTACCGTGCTCCACACAACGCACTGGTTTGCATCCATATTCTCAGCAGGCTGCAAACCTTCCTGGAATGGTACACCCCGGTACAGTCGCCCCATCCAGGCTGCTTGCTCCCACGGCCCCCACCCACTCCCCGGCTCCCAGGACGAACGCGCCCTTACCAGGATGTCCGAACCCACGGATTCCTCCCCCGAGGCTGGGTTGGAGCAGTTGCGGAGTTTGAATACCCAGTACTCCTTGGCAGTGATAAAGAAGTTCCATGGCAGTAGGCCGCCAATGCCCAAGCTGAAGAAGATGATGTAGGTCCCGTGGAAGCGGTCCTCGGGCCTCTGCAGGCCGGGCGGGGGGTGGTCGAGCAGCTTCTCAAGCAGTGTTTCCTGGTCAGCGCGGAGGGAGCTGCTTGCCGTTCTGTAGGTGGAGTTTGAACTGTGATGAAAGTCATCCTCGGAGGCCATGGCCACGGCTGGAGCAGAGAGACACAGAGACAGGGTAGGCAATCAGAAGCTTAGGCTGGGCCCGGCTAGGGACTCACCCGTCCCGCAAAGCTGACTCTGCCCCGACCCTGCATCACCACAGCATATGGTTAGAGGGGGAGAGGGAGGATCGGGGAGAACGACAAGATGCTGGGACTGTAAGTGACCAAAGCATCACCCCCGTCCCCGTGCAGGACAACATAGGTAGCCAACAAGCTGTGGGCTGGCCGGGAGGAAGGCCATGTGATGCAGTGGGACCTACGGCAATCGATCCAGAAGGGCAAACCTGAGCTCAAAGCCTTCAACTGTCTATGGAGCCATTAAAAAAAGGCGACTAGGACCCTTGATAGGCAAAGCATGTTCTCCAAACTCTTTTCAACTTTATGTGAGAAAAGTAAGGAGCAGGAAAGTGCATAGAATATGTTATTATTTGTGCAAAAAAGCAGGCAGGGTTGGGCTGGGTGGGGAGGAGAATATGCTGCGGAAGGACACACGGGAAATTTCAGAGTGGTTGCCCCTGGGGAGGGAGGGGTCTTCACTGCTTCCTCTTTTGTGCCTTTGGAACTCTGAACTATGTGAAGGGATTATGTATTCAGAAATTAAATTATAAATAAAAATAAAGGCATTCAAATAAAATAACATTTAAAACAAAAAACTAAAACCATGGTGTCTAGAGCAGCCTTGAGAAGCCAGTTTGAGAGATCTAATAGTCCACTCCCTCATTTAATTTTTGGGAAACAAAGGTCTGAAGAGCAGAAGGTCACAGACCAGGTCCATGGCCAAGCCTGGGTTTGTAGCTCCTGCCCGGGTCCCCACCTCTGTCCCTCACATCCCATCAGGAGACAGCCACTCCCAATCTGTGACAGCACCTAAAACTTAACTGAAATTCTGGGATGCCTACATGACCTTGGGCAAGTCACCATGCTTCCAAGCCTCAATTTCCCCATCTATAAACCGAGGGAGGCCTTTTTTACGATGCTTATGTAACTGCAACTGGCTGCCAGTGCCTGGCCCATGGTAGCAGCTGCTGCAGGAACGTCAGCATCTTCCCCACCATCCTGGACTTGTCCCCTGGCTGGCTGGCTGCTGAATGGCTGCGAAGTAGCACACCTGCTTCTATGCTCTATATAGCACCTAGGACATGGCGGCAGCTTGATAAATGGGCAGTACTTCCACAGAGCTGAGGATGGGACATTGCAGTCTCTCCTGCAGTAGCTCCCCCCCCCGCCAAATACATCAAGAAATGAACTCGGCTCGGCCCCCTCGGAGTCTAAGGCTCACGGCATCAAGCCGGGCCCTCCTTCCCTGGGAAGATGGGAATGCCCTGTCACAGAGGCACACGGCCTTCTCTGGTATCTCAGGAGAGCCTCACAACTTTCCTTGGAATTAAGCAGGACAGGAATTCGTGCCTCCCTTTTTTCAGAGGCAAAGAATGAAGCCTTGAAGGCAGTTGATTTGTCCCACATTCAAATAGTAAGAATTCCCAGTAGCTAAATTGAAATCCGGTGCTCATGCAATGTCAAGGTCTGTGCCTCGCACTTGAGCGTGACAACAGCACAACATGACAGGTACCACTCTAAGGCTCATTTCACAGATGAAGAGTGAGGCTCCAGAAGGTTCAGTCATTTGGCCAAGGTCACACAGCTGCCAAATGGCAAAGGACGAGGTTACATAGCCAAGCAGTCCGAGGCCCACCCAGGAGAGGAGGCTGGCTGGCAATGTGAACCCATGTCTGCTGGCTCCAAGTACAGACCTCCTTCTAGAAGGCCTCACGGACAGTGAGCTGTGAGCAGAGGTGAAGAGGATGCAGGGCACCCTCACCAGTGTTTGCTGAACGAATGGACTCTGTCTGGGTGGTCAGGATATTCCCTCCTATGGGGGCACGTACCCTGGAGCCGGCAGGCAAGAGGCTGCCAGATGGCCGAGCATGCAAGCCAACAAGTCTATTTTCAGCTCCCCTGGCTGAGCAGCGCCCTTTCCTAGCCTTGTTCTACAGGAAGCCCAGCTCTGACAAACTAACCAGTGTGGGCACACATGCAGTGTGCATGCCCAGGTGCAGACACACACGCATTTCTCAACTAGTGTTTAGAAATGTAAAAACTATGACCCATGTAGGACAACAGACAAAGGACAAGTGGTTCTTTCCAGATGCTCCAGCTACAGGGGTGGGGGCGGGGCCCGTGGCCGGCTTACTCTGGCCCACTCTCATCTCCACATCTATTTGTCCAGGGCCATTCAGCCTTGACTGAGCTTCTGAAGAAGGAACCAGAAATTTTCTCTAACCTGGGTCACAGGCCAGGGCACTGGAGTGAGCCAAGTCTTACTACTCTTTATAAAAGCTAGCTGCTGGCTTTTGGATTAAAAGGAAAGCAAGGAAAAAGAAAGCTAAGGAAGAGCCCTGGTGTCCCCAGTGTGGGCTGGCTGTGGCCTGCCCTGTACTCAGTAACCTGCAGGAGTTGGCCAGGCTTGGCGGGGCTCCCTTCCTGGGTGAGTTGGGGGAAGGGGCAGCACCCCCACAAAGCAGCAGAAGTGTGTGGTGCCCGGGCTGCTGCAGACCACCATCTGGAACTGGGGGCCTGGTTCTGAGCAGGTTCCTGACTCTGGCTCAATCTCCCCCCTGTGCGTCGATTTCCTCATCTGTGAAATGAGGGTAGGGCAGCTGGTGATGCTAACCCACGGGAAAGCACTTCTGGGGAACAAAGGGTGCCACCCAGACACCATGGCAGAATCGGCTTTGGGGTTGGAGGCACCCCCAGCCTCAGACTCCCCCAATTTGAACTAAGAGTCAGCCACCTTCTGGATACTTTGGGCTGACTCGTCCATACCCAGGCCCCCCACAACCAGGCGGTGGGGTCCCATGTCAGGAAATCCATGAGGAGGAGGAAGAGGAGGGGAGAGAATCCAGGGGAGAAAGAGCATAGCGACCCGAAAAGGGAAAAAGGGGGGGCCAGGAGTCAGAGGGGGCACGATGGGGAGGGATACAGTGAGAGATGAGAGGCGCCGCGGCGGGGTGGCTGGGGCTGGGAGGGCTCCCCCTCCCGAGGTTCCCGCGGAGCAGCCCCCAGGAGGGCTCCTCGGGGGAGGCCGCCGAAGCGTGAGCCCAGGGGGCGGCCGGGAGCCTGAAGAGCCGGCCGGGGGTCAGGTCCACGCCCGACCTCCGGCCCGCACTTACTGTCGCCGCCGCGCCGCCGCCGCCGCCGCCGCTGCCTCCCCGGCCGCCGCGGCCACTGCGAGTCGGGGCTCCGAGGGGCCGCAGGCCGAGCTCCGCCTCCCGGCCCCGCCCCGCCCCGGCCCGGGGCCGCCGACGCCGGCGCTTCCCGGTTTGCAAACCCTTCCCCGGCCCGGCGTCCCCGCGCCCCCGCGCCCATTGCACAGGCGGACCGCGTGAGGCGCCGGCCGCCCCGTGCACCGCCCGCCCGGGCCCTGGAGCGCGCGCTCCTTCCGCCCCCTCCCCGGGAGCCGGCGCCCCGGGGCCCGGAAGAGCTCCCGCTCGCCCCCAGACTCCTGCAGAGAGCCCCCTCTAACTGCAGCCCCCATGCCCCTGCTGGCCCAGCCACCCAGCTTTGGCGCCTACTGTCAGGCCTCCTGTGTGCCAGGCCAGCGCCATGACGCTTTTCCTTGTCACCGCCTTCCGGAGGCCCATGGTCTGGCTGAGGCGCAGGGGAAGCTGGGCCGGGGGCGGGGGTCGGGGGAGGGGGGGACCGGTCCTCGGGACCATCCCGCCAGGCTCTCCCACCAGCCCCCGGACTTTCGTGTTCGCGTCCCAACGGCAGGCCAATGGGGCCACCTTTACCCGCCCCACTTCCTCTCTCTGCCAGGCCCTTCACCCCTCGCAAGCCTGAGGGCCAGGGGTGCAAGTGTGCCCCTTTCACAGACAGGAGAAGGCTGCGTTTACGGGACGCCGAGATGGAGCTGCGGTTCTAAAACCCCTGCCCGCCTGTGATGGCCCCCGCCACAAGGGGGCGCCCAGTGCTGGGTGCTCTGGGGCAAGGTGAGGCTCAGAGGAGTTTCCTTCATTCAACAGACCTACTGCAATGAGGACCTGTGATACCGTGATATAAATATATATTTGGGGGGCGCCCCAGTGCCTCAGTTGGTTAAGCGTGGGACTCTTGGTTTCAGCTCAGGTGTGACCTCAGGGTCCTGGGGTCCAGCCAGGCACCAGCCTCTGCACTCAGCGGGAAGTCTGCTTGAGATTCTTGCCCCCTCTCTCTCCCTCTGCTCCTCCCCCGCTTCCCACACGCTCTCTCTCTAAAATTAATAAAAATATTTAAAAATATATATATACATACATATATACATTTGGTGTTAAAGAAAGAAAACCGCAGGCCCCAAATGACAGAGTTCCCAAACCGGGGCTTAATACCCAAACTAAATGCAGTTTCAACCTCCCCCAGAAATGTGGCCTTAACTGGTCAGTCAGGAAATTTCTTTCCAGCAGCACCAATGAATCTGTCACCTGGGGCCCTCTCTATCCCACCCCACCCCCGACGGAAGATAAGGCACTCCACAGGATAAAATATCTTGCTTTTCCCCTAGCAAACAACCTCCATGGGAGAGATCTTTGTTTTTTTTCCTAAAAACTTTTTTGCCCCCACCCTCCCTTTATAAAAACCTCCCATTTTGTACAGTGCCTCGAGTGCCTCTCTGCTTGCTAGATGGGGTGCTGTCCGGTCCATGAATCATTTAATAAAGTCAATTAGATCCTCAAATTCACTTGGTTGGATTTTGTTATTAACATTGGTCTGGACATGAGAGCTTCCGAAACCCTTGGAATTTTCTGGGTAAAAGAGGTGATAGTGATGTGGTTTTGGAATACAGGTGAGGTTCGGTAGAGTGAGGTCTGGAGCCGATGAATTCTTGAGACATCTTTGGTGCAAAATGGTGGTTTATTAAAGCACGGGGACAGGACCCATGGGCAGAAAGAGCTGCTGCACGTGGGTCTTGAGGAGTGGCTGATTATATACTCGGGAGCTGGGGGACCTAAGGAAAAGGGAGGTTTCAAAAGAACTTTCATATGCTAAAGAGGACCAACCTACTGGATTCCTACAAGATACCAGAGGTCAGGCCACTGTCAAGTTAGGGTTGTTTTCCCTTCTAGCAAGGTATTAACATTAAGATAGTTGGGAGATCCCTGGAAGAATGTCACACACATGGGTTGCAGGGTGTCAGCTTATGCTCCGTCTTCAGCTAGCCTTCTGCTCCCTCATCACTAGGAGAGTTTTGTTTGTTTGTTTATAATAAGCCCCTTTTGACCACGCCAGGGTTTATGCTAATCAGGTGACTCTTACTGGGCCCCTAGATAGCTTCTGGATGGGGGAGGGTTGTGCCAGAGGAAGCAACCACAAATTTAGGGGTTGGGATTTTCAGCACCATACCCCCCTCCGCCCCAGGAGAGAAGAGGAGCTGGAGACTGATTTAATCACAATGACCACAGAGTTCATTAATCATGCCTATGTACCTCCATAGAAACCCCTAAATGGTTGGGGTTCAGAGAGCTTCTGAGTTGGGGAACACATCTACTTGCTGGGAGGGTGGTGCTTGGCAACTCCACGGGGACAGAAGCTCCTTTGCTGGGGACCTTGGACCCTGTTCATCTGTATCCTTTATAATGAACTGCGGATAGTAAGTTAAGTGTTTTTCTGAGTTCTGTAAGCCCTTCTAGCAAAGTATTGAAACTAAAGGCGGGGTGTTGTAGGAACCCCCGACTTCGTAGCCAAGTCGGACAGAAGTCTGGATACCCTGGGCAGCCCATATGTTCTACTGGCGTCTGAGGTGGTGACAGTCTCAAGGGACTGATGCCATCTCCCAGCGGTTGTGTCAGCATTGAACTGAATTGCAGGACACCGGAGAGAGGGAGGATTGGTTGTTGGTGGGCAAAAAACCCACATGTTTGGTGTCAGAAGTGTTGAGAGTGAAAACTGTGCAGAGGCCCAAAGGTAGGGAGGGCTGGGGTCTTGCTTTGGAGGAGCTTGCACCCTCCCCGGGGAGGCAGGCCAGCATTGGAAGCCCTGCAGGGGTGTGCACGGTGCGGTGGGGGCATCGGTGGGCAGGTGCCGGGAGTCAGCAAGGACTGGGCACCCGCCCTATTTCACAGGCGCAAGTCCCAGGCTCGTAACATTAAGTAGCTGGCCCAAGGTCACAGGACGGTGGAGCCTGTATTTGCTCCCCCCGCAGGTGTGTCTGACTCTGAAGGTGGCACCTGTTTTCTGCTCTACCACATGCCCCTCCTAAGGGCCTGGGGGTGGGTAGGGTAAGAAGTGGGTTGGAGGTAAACGGGTATGGGGCTTCCCTATCTGGTGGAGGCCAGCGGCATGGGTGGTAAAGGCAGAACGAAGGAGGTAGGAGTTTATTGACTACACTTGCAAGGAAGAAGCAGGCCGGACAGTAGAGAAGAGACTGTCTGCTAGGAGGCGGTGGTGGGGAGCTGCAGTTAAGGGAGGAAATGGGGAGATGTGGGAACGTATGGAATTTTCCCCTTTATGGTACCTGTGCCCGATTTTTTTTTTTTTAAGATTTTATTTATTTGACAGAGAGAGACACAGCGAGAGAGGGAACACAAGCAGGGGGAGTGGGAGAGGGAGAAGCAAGCTTCCTGCCGAGCAAGGAGCCCGATGTGGGGCTCGAACCCAGGACCCTGGGATCATGACCCGAGCCGAAGGCAGACGCCCAACGACTGAGCCACCCAGGCGCCCCCTGTGCCCGATTTTGAGTAGCCCATAGGTCAGCCAGGGCCTCTGGCTATTTCCAGGTGGGCCGCCTAACGAGCTCGTTTGCAGTCAGCTGGGGGGTCACTGTGGGCCCTTTTATCCCACTCAGGTTTCCGTTGTTTAAGCCTGTGACCTAGAAGTGGCCTCTACAAAGGGTTTCTGGGGAGAGGTGACCTTGGAGCTGAATCTTCAGTATGCTTGTGGCCCATGGAGGGCAGCAGGGAGGATCTTCCAGAAGGAGCAGGAGGCTAAAGTGAAGGCAGAGGGGAGAGCTGTGACATGCCGGTGGAGTGAGGGGTACGAGGCTGTGAGAAAGTTCGGGACTGGGATGGCCCTGAGAGCCACACTGGGGGTGTGGTCGTCACCCTGCTGGCCACAGCATTCCTTTCCATGGCACAGCATTCCATAAGGGTTTTGCAGGAGAGGAGAACAGGCCCCACCAGGGCTAAAGAGGTGACCGTGGTGATCGCTGGTCACAGGCAGGGCAACGGACTAGAGGCTGGGGCCACTTGGCTTCAGTATCTGACTGATTTGTCCAGCCTAAAAAAACAGATCCATATTTGCAAGGTTTTAATAATTTGGCCTCTTATGCGTTCCAGGCCTTGAACCATCCTGGCTCCCATTCCTGCCTCCCGAACCCACGTCAGTGCAGTTTGAAATATCCAGCCCAAGACACTTGGACCTTACCTGAAAGGTGGGGAAGGGGTGGGCAGGAGGAGGGAGCTGTGGGGGGCCCTGGGACACTGTTTTGGAGGATTTGGAGCCCCTGTGTGGTTCTTGGGGGGAAGGCAGAAGACTTGTCTTGAATCTGTTTGCTCAGCAAGCTCTCTGTTCCATTTAGCTTGTGCAATGTGCAGATCGGGTCAAGCATCCGGATTTCCCCAAGACGCTCCGATCCTGTACACTTTAACTACAGCTGACAAAATAGGCACTGTCGACGGTGAAATGACAAAAACCAGAAGGCTGAAGACCTTCCCAGATGCTGTCCCTGATGGGGAGGGGGGCGGTCAGGCGGCCCTCTTGCTGCACTTGGCCTCCCAGGGCTGGGCAGATGTTTTCAAGGGACCCAGAACTCGACGTGGAGCAATTCCAGCAGAGAGTAAGTGTCTATTAAGCGGGACTGCTGCCTGTCAAGGAAGGGGGGTTCTTCAAAGAGCTCTGCGCTGGCTGCCCCCCACCTCTCTCCTGCAGGGACACCTACTGGAGTCCAACGTACAATTCCATGAGGTAGGTACGCTAGTTAGCCTCATTTTGCATATGAGGACCCTGGGGTTCAGAGAGGTTGGTATCTTGCTCAGAGTCACACAGCTACTAAGTGGCCAAGATTTAAATCGACACCTTACTGCCTCCAGAGCCCAGCTGGGAACATTATCCAAGTCACACAAGCTCTTAACCCAAAGCCTGCTGACCTGTAGGCAATTCAGCAACAGGCAGAACCTGCGTATTCACACAGCTACTGCCGTAGAAGTTAGCCAGGCGGCTGCCGAGCCCGCCAAGGCACGGGGTTGGCAGGCCATCTTGCGACGACGCTCTGTCACTGCAGTGGGTGCAGGCTGGCTGGCTGGCTGGGTGAGGCTGCACTCCTGCCGTCTGGGGCTTACTGGACTCCCCCGCAGGGCACGTGGGTCTGGGGAGACAAGGACTCATTCGTAATTGCTGAGCTAATTGTCTGCTCTCACATTACCAGTTCAAATCCACCCTCCGACTCTAACCACCTCTCCTTCTGTGTCCCACGGCTCCCTTTGGGAAAGTTCTGTGCCTCCTGGAGATTCCAGCCCCTGACCCCTCTGTCTCCCCTCCATGCATCGGGCATCTTGCCCTCCACCC